CAGAGCAGAATTTGATCCAAGTGCTATTTGGTTCCACATTTTGCTTCCATTTTGTCCATTTTCTCCCCAGTGAAGACAGATTAAGAGTCAGAGTGCAAGAAGGTAGAGTTGAAGAAGACACGTTTTACATTTGTGTGCAACATGGTGATGATTTAAATAAGGAACTTTTTTAGTAGTTGGAAAACAAGTCATTGAATCATTGGAACATAATAGGCATTGGCTGGTTTAAGGCACAGAGATGAAAAAGCCATCCCTGCTTAACAGGGGGTGTGCAGTGAGGTGGGAATACAGGCAAATAACAGATCCACATGAGATGAGAAAACTGCTGTAGCGCAGGGAACTTCTGTGGTGGGGAAGCTGCCCTCTTCTGGGTGGTAAAAGTTGGTTATTGGTACAGTGTTTTCTTGTGTCACAGAAGTGGATTTTGTGACTATTAAGGATGTGAGAATGTTCTATTTGTCATTTCATGCTTAAGTGGATCAGTGTTCTTATTTTAAAGGTTTGACATTTAGCAGTTACAAGCGTTGAAAATGTCTTTTCTAAAAGTGGTTGAATTGAAATGATTACACAAATTTTACTGTATTTTTTATTTATTATGGTCAGTATGTTCTAACAACTTGTTGAGTGGAAAGCACAGATAGCTTTAAGGACTTTATAGTAAAACAAGTATATGTGCTTCTGACCCCTCAAGAGTTCCCAGTCATTGAGAGAGATGGCAGGCTGTAATTTTACCACAAAACCAAATATCCCACCTACCTTGGAAATACCTACATGTGTCTCAGCAGCAGCCTGACAGCTGTGGAGAGTTTCGAGCCCAGCCTTATTAGTCCGATTTGAGGAGGAGGTTGTGCTTAGAAACATGGAAGAGGTAGCTCATCCTGTCTCAAAATGGAAAGAAGCAATGATTGGAGCAGAGCAAGGAGATGGTTTGTTTAAGAAAGGTGTGTGTCAAAATGATATGCTTTCATTATATCTGTTTATTCCATATGCTGAGCAATTATTTGAGAAGCTGGTCTATATGAAGAAAAATGTGGCATCAGGATTAAGAAAGGCTCCTGAACAAGTTTCAGTATTCAGATAACACATCTCTTTTGCTTGCTGAAGGTGAAGAGATTTGAACCATTTACAGTTTAATCAGTTACTGAAGGTGGTAAAAAACCTACAGTTTTCAGTACAGATTGATTACACTTGGACATCAAGAAAACAGAATTCCTCGCCACTGGACCAATAAACAAGATCATGATAAATAAAGAAAATATTTAATTTGTCAAGAATTTTCTTTTTATTGGATTCACAATCAACACACATGGTAGCAGTAGTCAAGAAATCTAACATCTTATGGTATTAAGTCTGCTGACACCTGGACCTCTTTAAAGTGTTGAAGAGCATGGATGTCACTCTCAAGACCAAGATATACCCCACCTGCCATAGTACTTTAATTTGCTTCATATACATGTGAAAATTGGACGATTCATTGAATAGAAGACAAAATGAATGCCTTTTTATTGTGTTGGAGAAGAGTATTGAATATATCATAGACTGCCAAAAGAACAAACAGATCTATATTGGAAGAAGTGAAGCCAGACATTGTCTCATGTACTTGACTCATGTTATCAAGAGGTTCCATGCTTGGGAAAGTAGGTCAGTGAAGGAGAGGAGGGTCCTCAATGAAATAGATTGACACTGACTATCACAGTGGGCTGAAGCATCAGAGAGGTTGTCTGGATAATTCTGTTGTATACTGGGGTTGCTGTGAGTTGGGACAGGAGACTCTGGTGGCATAGTCTGTAGGGAACTGCACTGCTAATCCAAAGGCAGTGCCTCTCTGGTGGTTCAAATCCAGCTGTGATACCAGGGGAGAAAGATGCATAATCTCCTCCTGTTTGATTTACAGCTTATGGAGACCCACGGGAGGGTCAACTCTGAGTTAGAGCTGACTTGATGTTACCTCACAATCACCTTTCTGACTTCACGGGGAAGGGATTTGATGCTCCAGGATGTCACACCAGTTTCTTTACCCAGCCAAAGACTGTAACCCATGTCATTTCTGAGACTGCCCCTTTCCCTCCCAGTGGCATGGAGAAAGGAATGCCTGTAGAAAAGAGGGTGAGGAGGGGCAGGTGGGGTGAGAAGTAGCCTGGGCTGTGCCTGGGACTATAGGTAGGGTGAGGGGAGGGATATGAGAAGGGCAGACTGGCAAAAAGGAACAAGCAAAGGAATATTCATAGCATCTCTGGAAGCGAGTGGTGCCTGGCCAGCCTGGAGATCTGCATGCTTGAGTGTATTCTTGGCATTTCTTCAGGCTCATTGCCTCCATTAATTCATCTTTCATGCTATCTTGTTATTCGGTTGGTTTGAACCATTTGCTAGAATTTGTACGTACGTGTTTCCTTTGCTCATTCTGCCCACAACTGTCAGCAGTCTTTTTTCCTTTTCTTTTTGCTCTCTCCCTCCTCTGCATACTAGGATTCTAGCCTCTAGCATTGCCTACTCCTTTAGGGTGTGCTTTAGATGCCAGTTTATTTTCTGAGTTCCCGGTGAGCGTGGTGTACAAAGAAGCCTTCTTGCAAGCTTTGCATTCACATCTTGCATCCAGTGAGCCACACACATTTTAGCCACACACATTTGAAGAAAGAACCTAAGAGTTGTTTGAATCTGGCCGATTAAGGAATTCAAGGCTTTATAATTGTGTCAAGCTGGGTCTTGTCAGACTGCATTGACTTGAGTAATGCTCCCTGTCATGACCTACAGCTTTATGACACTGAATTGCCTTCATTTCACTGTCAGTCATGCTAACCACATTTCATTTCCCAATAGAGAAACTTTAGCTATGACTGAACCTCTGGCACCCGAATCCTTAGGATACTTAGGCAGCGCTCTGAGTGTTACCTGGCTCTAACAGTGTCGAGAACAAAGGAGTCTTATGTGTGTCCCTTTACAATGCCTTCTAAGGCTTAATCATTAAAACTGGATGGCTAGAATAAGATCCTTTCCCCATTTCTACACGAATGATACTTAAGACAGAAATGGCATGCAACTATGCAGATGTTTACTTCAGCCCCAAGCAAGCGTGTCTGCGATCTTCACTATGAGAATCTTAATCTCCCGGGCATTCTTTGTAGTTGGAAACAGCTTTTAGGCTTTCTATATTTAGAAAAGAGAGAGCAGAACTATTTGAGTTCATACGTAAGTCACTATAGAATGAAAATTTTAACATTTATTTAGAAGATTTAACATTTATTTAGAAGATTAATGAGTGTAGCCACCAGTATGATTTTGGGGCACCCGGGAGCCACCTCTCCTGAGTGTGTGACCTGCTTTCGCTAGAACAGAGTTCAGCTAGAGGTTCCCATGCTTGCTCAGCCTGTGGAGAAAGAGGCCAAGAAGTGTGTGTCCTGTGGGTTGAACGAGCCTGGGTCTGTTGCCTGTGATTCTTTGCCTGGCTGCTGCCAGGCAGTGCCAGTTTCCATGTGAGATGTGTTACTTAGCCACTCAGATACTCTGTACTTTCATAGTGAGGGCACTCTGATGTCCGCAGGGCCCCACTAGCTCTCTTTTGTATTGGATATTGTCTGTGCACTGCTTGATTTCTCTTACTCTTCAGTGGGCGCCCATCACAGGGAAGCCAACACCAGGCTCTGAATTGGGAGTTTGGGGAGGGAAAGCCAGGCCATGACTCAGCATTGCTGGAGGGTGGACTAAGACTGGGAAGATGGGCATTGGGCTCAGAGCTTTGAGTCTGAGTTCTGCTTCCAGTCTGACCTTGAAGATATACTTAAATCTCTGTAAGCCTGGTTGCTTTGTAAAATATGGAGGAACACTAATACTTTGCAGGATTGCTATAGGAATCAAATGACAGGTAGATGTAACTAAAACACCATTTGCCATCCAGTTGATTAGACTCCTGGTGACCCCATGTGTTTCAAAGTAGAATTCTATTTCACTGGATTTTTTAATGACTGACTTTTGGGAAATGAATCTCCGAGGGCTTTGTTCCCAGGCACTTCTGGATGGATTAGATCTTTCTCTTAGTAGCCAAGTGTTTGTCTTTTGCCACCTGGGGACTCCTGATGTAGCTCTTGGGTGTAGTAACAGGTGAAACAAATGAAGGACTGAGTGTAGATTTCAGCTGTGCTGGCCCTGTGTGCGTTCTTAGAGCACCACGACTCTGTTAGGTCTTCAGCAGTTGCAGCTTTGAAAGATCACCGGACTGTTTGAGTTAAATTTAACTGGCCCACCATGATAGAGCAGAAAGATGTTAATCCTGGCTCTCTTCATTAATCTGCTTCAAAAGCCTTCATTTATTTGCTAAATAGTTCTTAGATAAAAGAATTATTAGTTATATTTGGAGAGTACTTTTAGGTTTCAGATATACTTAAAGGCATGATCTCCTGTGAGATAGAGGCTATTATTATCCTCATTTACAGATAAGAAAACTGAGTCAAAGAGACTAAGTTCTCTTCCCCAAGTGATTTCAAAAGAAGTGAGGGAGGGTGACTTTATGACTCTGATGCTGGTTATTGTGCCCTTTAGAGTTGGATCCGACCCAGAGCTGACCCTCCAGCGAGTTTTCAGAGGCAATTAATTGCATGGAAGGAGATTGCTCATCCTTCTCCACAGAGCAACTGATGGCCTCGAACCTCATGCCTTTGGGATTGCAGCAAAATTTCTTGCCACTAGGCCACCAGAGCTCCCTCATATTCAATTATTATTTTCAGTTACTTCATCAGTGAAATGGGAAGATGAAGCCACAAATGAAATAAGTGTAAAAAGTCCTGCATGTGGATACATAGATGCAAATGAGTGGTCTTTTACCTCTGAGTTGTGTTTACCTTAGAATCTGAGTGGTTGCTGATTGTAGCCTTAGTAGTAGGAGCTTGCTTGGTAGAAGAGTGATTGGAGGACGTCTTGCCAGGCTTGGCAGCCCTGAAGTGCCCATCCCATGCTGTGCCATGCTGTCTCAATCTGACATGTTTTCCTCTGCCTTTTGCTTTAAGCAGCAGACTTGCTTGGACTGTAAGAAAAATTTCTGCATGACCTGTTCCAGCCAAGTGGGGAATGGGCCCCGCCTCTGCCTTCTCTGCCAGCGGTTCCGAGCCACTGCCTTTCAGAGGGAAGAGCTCATGAAGATGAAGGTGAAGGACCTAAGGGACTATCTCAGCCTTCATGACATCTCTACTGAAATGTGCCGGGAGAAGGAGGAGCTGGTGTTCTTGGTGCTTGGCCAGCAACCTGTAATCTCCCAGGAGGGCAGGACTCGTGCCTCCACCTTGTCTCCGGACTTCCCCGAGCAGCAGGCCTTCCTGTCCCAGCCTCACACCAGCACAGCACCTCCTACCTCACCCAACCTCCCTTCTCCACCTGCACAAGCCACCTCTGCTCCCCCAGACCCGGCTCAGGAGAGCCAGCAGGTATGGGCCATTCGTAAGTCTCTGCCAACCTATGTCAGTTAGAGGGCTCCTTTTCCTCCGCTGCCTGCATTGTGGGGTCAGGTGGGAGGTTATAAGTGTCTCTTTACAGGAAACCTTTCCATCTTCTGATGTGAGAGGTGATGTTTCCTGGACATCACATTCATGTTTAGAATCTCTTTGGCGGTAGTATGCACAGTACTGAGTTTTTGGGGTTTTTTTTGGTCTGTTTTTTCTGATACTACATATCTCAGACATTTTTAAATAATAGTTTTAGATATATTTTGTAAAATCTCACCTTTAGCTCTGTAAATTTAGTTCTCATATTTGCCTTTCTGTTTACTTACTTACTGGGATCCTTCTTTAGATGGCTAGGGAACTCAGTTCCTTAGTAACCATCAGAAAGTACATGAGGGGGACAAGATTGTGTGGAGGGGGCGGAGGAGTGGAGAAACACTGATCAAGAATGGGGAGCTGTTTTTCTTCTTGTGCACCACTTGGAAGGGAGATTGGTTGACCTACTATTCTTTTGTAAGCTGCTTTAGCCTTATCCCAGTGGGGCCTGGTGAGGTAAGAGCCCATTGATTAGATGAACAGCCAGGCCTGGGGAATACAGAGCTGAGTAGACACTGCCCCTGCCCTCAAAAGCCCACCTCTGAGAGGGAGGATGGATGCAGAAGTAACTATGAGGCTGGTGAGCATACCCACTCTGTAGGGGGTAAGGGGTTGTATAGTTGCACATCAGTGCCTGACAGATGGCCCTGTTATTTATATAGTTTGGGCAGTAGTGAGGGGATTAGGAGCAAGAAGATCTCGTTTCCTCATCCAGTTTTATCACCGACTCCTTGTTCCTGGACATACTTGGAACATCACCAGTGAGGTGGAGTTAGTAGCTGCAGCCACTTTTTCTTGTTAGGATAATTACAAGGCAGAGTAGCATGATATCACTTGTAATAAAACCTGAGAAAGCTGGGATCTGTGTAAGGTGGAAACCTTTCAGAGACAGGAAATGCAAATACTGTCCACTAGCGCTCCAATCCCAAAGGCATTCTATTTAAATCCACCAGCTGCCTCCACCAGAGAAGGAGGCAAACTCCCTCTGAAAACTCATTAGAGGATCAGATTTGGGTTGATTCTGACTCGATGGCACACCACAGGCAGAGGTAGGAAAGTGGTGAGACTGTACTCTGTCAAAGGTGGACAGCTTGTGAGACCTGGAAATAGAAGGTGGTGCTGTAGAGTTCCTGCTGGAGCCCCTTGGAGCTCATCTATAGCTAGTGTTACCTGCTCTCACACATCGTGGATGGCTGCTGCATCTTGTTTGTGATCACCTCCTTTGCAGGACGGTGCTCTCCTGATTCAGCTCTTGACAGGCACTGAGGCATAAAAGCCAGTGCAATAGCATAATTTAACTGCAGTCAAATCATTTAACTCTTTTGTTGGCTTGGGCAGGTTTACACCTCTGCTGAAGTTAGCCCTTTCCTAGCTCTAGCTATCTGATGCCACAGAGCTTTCCATTCCCTGTGGCTTTCTCCCTTTCCTGCCTTCTTTGGAGCTCTCAGTTTAGAGGGAGCCATGAGAGGATCTTGAGGAGGCAGTTTTTCCTTGAGGAACCATCAGGTGGGATTTTGAATGAAAGAAGATCATTATCCAGAAATTTCCAGATTATACCTATATAGGTCATGCTACTAGATCCTAGATATCTCTGAGCACTTTCTCTCTGAGGTTTTCAGAGGGCCTTAGTGTTAGCTCACATGTGCTCTTCTGATGAGAGCTGCATTTTGCAAGCAGAAAAAACAGGAATGGCTAAGTTCCCTGACGAGTCCACATGTGCACTGAACCTGGAATGCAAATTTCCTTGGGTTTCTTACTCTGCCATAGCTTTCTCCCTTACCTTGTATGCCATGTGGAATAACCAGTATCATGGACTAGATATGGATATTGATTTAGCCAGCAGACAGACTAGAAAGACCAGGCATGCTTTGCAGCAGGAAATCTAGTTTGTGTTTCTATTTTTTTTTTTTTTTTAGTATAAGAACTTTTTATTTGACATGTACAAGATTTTGATATCTTGCAGCTTTTGACCAGGTTTATTATACAATCTCAGTTTTAATAGTGCAACTTGTGCAAGCAAAAAAAATAATAAAAAGATAAAGGAAACGAAAAGACCAACTGTCCCCTCAACTTGTTTATAAACATCTATTATAGGCGAAACAAAACTTACCCATATTATAGATAAGTGTCTATTCACATTTGTACATTACCATTTTTAACAATTTGAGATAAACTCTACAATGTCTTACAACACAATAAACAAACTTCAAGTTACTGAGTAACGACGATAACAACGAAAAGAAAACATACAGCAGGAGTCGCACGCGGCTTCCTCGGTGTGGACTTTTTAACTCAAGTAAGGCTTCCTCTCAGGAGGGACAGAGCAGACAGAGTGAAGTCAGAAAGATTGCTTTTGCAAGATGGAAGCCAATTTGTACTTCTGTCTAAAAACTAGCTTTTTTCAAGTTACGCAGAATGAATTTTAAGAAACAGGCTTGTAGCCATTTCTGCAGCACACATTAGGAATCCTATCATTATACATTAAAAGAACTTTTCCATTTTATCATACACACATACACAAAGAAAAAGGATGTACTCACAACCTAGGGTGCTGGGCTGGGCTGGGGCTCGCAGGACAGAAGCGAAGACCCAGGTAGAAACACTATAAAAATGCAATAACCAATGCTGTACATCTACAAATCTGCTTCTCTCCATGAACGTGACCTCTGGTTAACTGTGTATACGCATGCTTTCAAGACATGCAGTGTCAGGAAGAAATGAGAGGAAAAAACCCGAACGCACGGTCTGCACCCTTCGTCTCATGCTCTAAGAAACCTACTGCCTAAGAAGTTGGGCAAAGAAACCAATATATATTCTCTATATTTATAGACTGAAAATGCATGCACCCGGGGAGAAGCCCCAGCAACGGCGTGGACGTACTGCATTAACCCTGAGAACTGAAGAACGTAAAAGTAAAGCCAGTTTGGGAAGTTCCAAGCATCTTAAACCCACTGTGGTTTGTTGCCTTTGACAAACCCACAAACGGACAGACAGACAGACAGAACAGACACGCGCACACACATGCCCCTCTGCTCATCCACAGTCAAAGCCGTCGGGAAGTACCGAGGGGAAAGCAAAAGGAGAGCCAGTGGCCCACTACGGCACAGCCCACAGCGGCACGTCAGGCCCACTGCGGCATGGCTGACCTCCATCCTGCTCTCTTTTCCAGCTTTGGCCTTATTCCCCTCCAAATTAACCAGAGAGAGAGCACAACTGGAAAAAAAAATTTCTTTGGAAACTGTCCCTGATTTTTATGCAAATGATATGCTTCAACAGCACTGGAGACACCCCGTGGAAAGCTGTCTGCTCTCTAAGCGTTGCTCAGGTTGGTGAAGCTC